GTCCCCGCTGGCCCTGGGCAGGGGGCAGGAGGAGGATAATTGATACAGAGGGGGTTTTCTTGGTCCCTCTACGCAGAGTCTGCGAGTTCCCCGAGACGGGCTCTCCCTTTGCAGCAGTGCGGTGCTGATGGTCCTTCACCCAGCCAATGGGGCAATGCGGGATGAGGGGTGTCTGATGGGACCCCATCCTCACTGGCACCATGCCCCGGGGTAGGAGCACCGGGGAGGGGGCACTTTGCTCCATCTCCTCAAGATACCACTCCCAAAATGTCAGCCCTGAGGGTTGCAGCCCGTTGCAGCCCACCAAGGACAGCACAGAGAGCTCTGTGCATGGCTGTCCTTCCCGACGAGCCAAACGGGAGCACCAGAGCTGAGTTTCTGGTGCAAACGACCCTACAGCCCCAGGGGACGGGGTCTGTCCTGGTGCTGGGCACGGCCCCCAGCACTCCATGCCTGCCCCCAGCATCGCTGTGTCACAGCCAGTGCCCTGTGCCCGACCGACACGAGCTTGCACGGACATCCAGCATCCCATCACCTTGCTGCCCATCACCGCAGGTGCCCCGCTCTGTTGGGCTCCCCTCTCCAGACCCTCTGGGACTGTGGGGGGATGGCGGGGGGCTGGAGGAGGGACCCTGGGTTGGCAGATGCTCCTGTTGCTGAGCACGCTACAGAGGATATGAAGTGTCGTGGTGCAATTTCTATTGCCCTCTGTAACTTTCCTGCTTATTTCAGGTGTGTTTATGCTGGTGGCTGGAGGTATTGTTGCCGGGATATTTTTAATATTCATAGAAATAGCTTACAAAAGGCATAAGGACGCGCGGAGGAAGCAGATGCAGCTGGCGTTTGCAGCCGTTAATGTGTGGAGGAAAAACCTGCAGGTAGGACAAACCGTTTTTAGAGCAAATCTCCAACAGGTGCGTTTTCCATTCCTTCACCAAATCAGTGAATGCAGAGCTGTGGATTAGCATGGGGCCCTCTGTCCCCCACCCCTCACCCCAGTAACTCCAGATGGGTGTTACTGGGCGCCTAGCAAGCTCTGGGGTCCCTGCCTTGTCCCCAGGAGCTGCCCTTGGCCGAGGCCATCTCTCCCGGGAGGTGTTGTGCACACCTTCAACTGGGACAGAGACCTGGCCCAAATGCCCCCAGCAGTGCTCGGGTTGGGGATTTTGCTCTGCTGGGGACTACGTGCCGGAGCCACGTCTTGTCCTGACCAAGAAAGAGGTGCTGGAGCAGCTCCCTTTGCAGGGCTCTGACCTGCTGCCTGGCTCCGGCCGTGCTCGCCAGCTTTTTTTTTTCCGCTGCCGCTGAGCATCCCTGCCTGGTGCTCGGGTGGAGAAATGCTCCAGGGATGGTTCCCATCGCCTCCCCCTCCCTGCCCGCTCCCTGGGGGTGCGGTAGCCCTTGCCATACCTGGGACTGACTCCAAAAAGAGGTGGTGCGTGCTCTGGTCATTGGGAAACAAGGACATCTCCCCACATGGGAGCCGGCAATGCTGGTGCCTGTCAGCCTCAGGCCCCCTCCCCGGGGCCATGGCCAACCCTGGCTTCTCCCATCCCCGAAACACCCCCATGCCACTCAGGCAGGGGGGCCTAGGGGGGTCAGCGGTGCCTGGCAGTGACACTGAGCCATGGCCACCAGCCTCACACTTTTCTTTCCCCATCGCTTTTGGGGCTGAGCCCCGCGGTGCCCCCGCACCCCAGTTGAGGGCATCTGGAGGCTCGCTCTGAACGCTCTGAATCGCCCAGGATGCTCCTCTTCCTCGGGGAGGCAAACCGGTGTTCAAAGAGCAAGAGATCCTTTAGGTGACTAAAGGAGACTGCCTTTTGCAGCAGAGCCGGTGAATGAAAGAGACAGAAGGAGGTTCGGGGACTCCAAAACGAGTCCGGAGCAGTGGCCCCCCGGGAGCAGCGCTGGCTGGGGCGTGCGGGTGGGCTGCCCGGGTGGAAGTGACCTGCCCGAGAGCAGCAAGGGGAAGCACGAGGCTGGGCTGCTGTATCCTGAGAGCTCGCTGGGTTCAGTTCACTAATAAGAGTCTCGGAAAAGCCATTTCTCTTTTTTCTTTTTTTTTTTTTTTTCTCCTTTGCTTCCAAAAAGCAGCAGCAGCAGCACCGAGGGGGTTAAGGCTGCTGGGACAGAGCACACTAGTCGCACTGCCATTTTTCACTTGCCAACCTTCTAGAAAATACTGCACTGGGTCCTTGGGCAGAGTCTGTGGGACTGTGAGCAAAGCATGCTGCCCTGTGGGGGTAAACAGCCTCATGGTAAAGAGCCGTTTGACATTGTAAGACTTTTCCACAGGAGGAAACGTCAGAGCACTAGTATCTGGTACATTGCTAGAAGGTAGGCAAGTGGAAAGATTTATTTGTTAAAACAAACAAACAAAAATAATGGTTTTTGGGATCACAGTTTTGCCATGGCTATTTCCTGAGATGCCATGGAAGAAAAAGACATTTCATTCCATTCATCTTGCTTTCCTTTCCGTTTGTGCATGTCCGCAAAAGAGAGAACTGAGAAGGAGGAGCAAATGTATCCCCGAGCATGCTCTACGCACCAGCGGGATACATTTTGGTTACCCCCGTGCGGTAGCAGAGCCAGACCTGGTCACTCCGTCCCCCGTCGGAAAGGTCACACTCATTGGCACGAAAGCAATTGGGGAGGAATCGTTCTCAGCGCCCGCCGCAGAGTGCGGCCGGTCCCCACGTGCCCCCGCACCATGGCGGCTGGTGCTCCCAGCCTGCGCTAACCAGGTCCGACTCGCTAACACCAATGGCTACATTTTTCAGTTCTGTTTCTCTTTGAGTTCATCCTGACCCCAGTGACATCATAGCGCTAATGCTTTGCCTCCTCCCTTTCTTTTCCTTTTTTTTTTTCCTTTTCTTTTTCTTCCAGTTTCCTTTTTTTTTTTTTTTTTTAACCTGTTTTACTTTGGAAAAAAAACCAAAACACCACCAACAACCACATTCGGCTTTGCACAACTGCGTCATTTAAATTTTTGAATACATTTTTTTTTTTTACAGAATATTCATACAATGACTTCTCTTTCAATGCAGTCCTCTCTCTCTCTTGTGGCACTAGGATTCAGCCTCAGAAAAGGCCCTGAGCAATACTTTTTTTTTTTTTAAAGTGGTAGGTGCAGCATCTCACCTCTCGGTCTAGCCAGGCTAGCGGTGGAAGCGAGGGGCAGGGCGCCAGGCAGAGCATCCCCAGGAAGCGAGGTCAGCTGTGCCGGCGCGGACGCAGACGCCCAGGAGAGCAGGGTGACCCCCCGGAGGGGTTTCCAGTGCTCCAGACGCGAGGCCGGCCCCGGAGCTGTAGCAGTGTGGCGTGTGCTGTAGCCATGGGTCACGGAGGCCCTTGGAGGACTGGGAGTGACAGGACACCTCCAGTAGCTTTCTCACCTAAATGAAGGACATGACACGGGGCAGTATTCAAATAGGTTTAGCGTTTCCAACAACACACTAGAGATCTAATCACTTATACATATTCATTTTAGGATAGAAAAAGTGGTAGAGCAGAACCTGACCCTAAAAAGAAAGCCACTTTTAGGTCCATCACCTCCACCCTGGCCTCCAGCTTCAAGAGACGTAGGTCCTCCAAGGATACGGTAAGAGGAAGAAGAACAATTCTGCCCTCTCTCTTTCTCTCTCTTTCTCTCTTCTGCCATCCCATCGACTGCCACACACCCATCCCGAAGCTGCCAGTGTACATGCATAGCTCATGTTCGTCACCAGTCAGTCAGTGAGTCAGTGAGTCAGTCATCCCGTGTACCTGAAAGGATGCTGGGATCCTGGAGGGCAGGCAGGAGGTGGCTTGGAGTCCTGTGATGAGTTGGGAGATGCAACTGAGTTTTTGTTCTGTTTTTTTGGTTTCTTTTTTGCCTGGATGATTTCCGATGTTCCTCTCTGTGCTTCACTCACCTTACCGGTGCTGACCTCTTGAAACCGATGACATTTTTCTTTTTTTTCTTTATTTTTCTTCTGTTCCTGAGTGTTCCTGTACCTGTTTGTCATTGTATGCCTAAAAACGATCACCCCGATTTAATTTGGGCACCGTGTCACCTCACCGAGAGCCATGCGTGTCGCATTCTCTACATGTGATTTTTGTTTGTGACGATTAGCATTCGGGACATAGTCCTTGGCGCAGGAGTGACAGCTGTCTCTGGTTATCGTCAGCAGCAATGCAGCTCTAGAAAAGAGATGCAAAGGCTTGAAAAAGGAGGTTGTTAAAGACCCAGACTTGGTTTAAACTTGTGCTTTCCACCTCGGAGTAAAACTGCTCTCACATAACCAGAGAAAATTTCCAAAATCGCTGCCTCTAAAGCCACCTGTTTCCAAATGTGCAAATGTGTCTGCTCATGCTGGAGCTTCAGACACTCTTCAGCGTCAGGTTGGGCTGTTGGTCTGTCAGACTGAGCCGGTGTCCCTCTGCATGTCGCCGTCTGTTGTATGACACTCTGCACTGTGGCTACTCTGTTGTCTCGTGTGGCGGCCGTCGCTGCGTTTTGCTGCCCGACCTCCTGGCGCGATGGGCTTGCCCAAAATCTTTTCCGGCGGGTTTCTGCCCCAGGTTGCTCAGAGCAGGCTCCCCTCCAGGCTGCCCGAGGGGTGAGGCACAGCGGGGATGGGGGGACGGCGGCGGCGTGGGGACATGCCCGTCGGTGGCCCATCCCCGGCCTCAGGCTCGGGGCGCCCTGGGGAGCAGCACGTGATATCACAGGGGTTCTCAGGGCCACGGCTCTGTAGGAGAAGCGGAGGCGGCTGCTTTTGACACCAATGCAGGCTCCATCCCAAGAAGCTCCTGGAGCACCCCTGCGACATGGCCCCGGGGACAGCTGAGCCCTTGGCTGGGCTCGGCTGCCACCTTCTCACACAAAGTGCTCCTCTTGCTGTCACCGCGAAGCCTGGCAGGCATGGCGGGGGGACCCATGCTCTCCCTGATGATCCTCTGTACCCAACGGGGACTATGGGCATCGCTGTCATCTCCTGTGCTGTCCCCATGCTCCCTGGGTGGCACCTTGCTCTGGTGATGCCCCCATGTCTGGGGTCCCCCCTCCCCACTGCTGCACCAACCCAGCAGCTCTGCAGGAAGGTTGCAGGTTGTGTCTTGGTGGCCTGAGCCCTGACCGGAGAAGGGGAGACAGATGGGGTGGGTAGTGCAGGGAGGAGAAGACTGGAAGAGCGAGGAGGTGAAGGGACAGGTGGAATGCACAGAAAAAAGGGGAGAAAACATGGCAGAAAGGGCTGGCAGGGGTGACCGACCATCAGCATGCCTTGAGTGGACACCATGTTTTCTTTTGTTGGAACCACTCCATGGTTAGGAAACCAAGGGATACTGTCCTGGGAGATCAGGAGCATCACAGTGAACTGGGCGCCTGTGGGGACCAGTGCCCATGGTGGGCACAGGAAAGGAGGACACACCAGGAAGAATGGGGCAGCTGGCACAGGGCACCCTGGTACGTCCCTCCTGCATCGCTCTCTCCTTGGGGAGGCATCCTGGGTCTGATCCTGCTCCATGGTGTGCCATCCACCTTAACCCATGCCACTACACAGCACCTTCTGCCCCAGGGTAGGACCCCTACAATGCCCTGAGCTGACCAGATCCAGGGACCACCTGCACCAGAGGTCCCATGGGCAAGTGGTGGGGCTACCGTCTCCCCTTCCCCGGCCCAGTGGGGACCAGTGCAGCATCGGCCTCCCTGTGCTTTGGACCCTGGCCATGCTCTTCTTGGCATGTTGCTCATGGGCAAGTCATGGAGGATGACTCATCCCAGAGGATGGTCCCTACTTTGGGGGCAGATGTATCTGCAGGGCAGCTATGGGTAACAACACCTGAGAGCCTTCTACCTGCCATGGGGTGACATGGCTGGGGTGCCGGGACACATTCCCCAGGGAATCAGGCTAGTTGGGTCAAGAACAGGCTACTGGGACCAACATCCGAGGCAACGGGGCCAACATGGAGGCTAGCAGTCCAAGGTCCACCTGTTGCAAGAGACCTATGGTGGAGCAAGCTTTGTCGTGATGTCGGGCAGGCCTGCTGGTCGCTCTGCAGGGTGAGCGGCCAGCAGGAGGGTGCGGCCACCAGGTCATGTCACAGCCTGCCATTGGGTGCCCTCCGCTTCTACGCAGCAGCCCTGGCCCAGAGACTCCAATGCCCTCCTGCTGTGGAAGGCCCCATGAGTACGTAGCATGCTGGGACACGTTGCCTGGGGTCCTCGTAAAGACGAGAAAGCAGCGAGGAGCTCTGTTTGAGGGTGCTCAGCAGAGCCGCGGGCCCACACCAGGTCTCAGAGGGGCAAGGCTTGAGAGCCCATGGGGCTGGAAGGCCAGGCTGACCCCAGCCCCATGGGCTCTCCTGGCTAGCGAGTGAAAGACGCAAACCTGGTGGCCTTGCTTCTTTCCTTTTCGTTGTCGGGAGTTTTAAAAATGGATTCTGCTCTGCAGCCCTGCAGAATGGTCCCTCAGGAGTGCCAGAGAGACAGGCTGGCACCATGGAGCCAAGACAGCCCTGGGAAGCTACCGCCCCACTCTGAACGTCCTAGCGCCCACCATCACCCGAGCTGCACAGCCTCTCCGCGGCACATCATCCCCACCGCCCCAGGAGGAGATGCATGTGTTCCCCATAGGCAGCTCCTGCAACTCGAATAGCACTCGCAGAGCTGACGTACTGCCATCCATCGCAGCCACCCACGATACTGCAACCCCACAGAAGCCATGTGAGACGCATAAACCACACAGACACCTTCCGAGCCGGCACATTTCGTACAGACACGTAACGAGGCGCACAGATCCCTTAGACCCCTCCCCACCGCAGCCGTCATCAGCCCCCGCAGAGCCACCATGTCAGCCCACGGGCGTCCCCCCTCCAGACACAGCATGACACACGTCCCACGTCACCGCCAAGCGAGGGCCCGGCGCTGCGAGGCGATGCTCGCCCTGCGGCCACGGGGATGGTGCCAGACCTGGTGGAGAACCAGGGGGTTGATGGAAAAGGTCACCTTTTCAGTGAAGGATCAGCCATCCCGAAGCCAAACACTTCTTGGCTGAAAAAGAACCTAGTTTTTGGCCCAAAACAAACAAATGTAGGTCGAAGACAACTAATTTTTTTTTTTTTTAAAGGAAAGCTGACATTTTCTACAGCAAGATTGCATTTAGCTGGAATCTTAATTTTTAATTGAAAAAAAAAAAAGAAAACCAAAATTCTTCCAGAAAATCTTCCACCAGCCAGGGACTACCATATGAGCCCAGATTAGGTTGAAGTCATTTTTAAAGACATATTAAGTTCTTGTCTATATTTTCTTCCTGGTTGTCATTTAAAGTTTTTGGTGCCTTCACTTCACTTCCATACCTTAACATGTTTGAGTCTCTTCTACAGTTAATATTGATTAATTTCTTGGCTTTATAATGTTTGGTTTGGGGATAATTGCACCATCCCTGTAACATAATTTGCCCTAAATTACTGATATGTGCTTCTAGCATTAGTTTAACATAGTTTTGATATGACAATTTTCTTGTTTTTTTTTTTCTTTTCTTTTCTTTTTTTTTTAATTTTTATTATTAAAAATTGCATGCATGAACTCTACACAAAAAAAGTAAATGAGAATGTTACCCTGTGATAACTCTGTGATTGGAGGAGATATGCTTTCAAATCAAAAGCCATGCTCTTGTATTTTAATTTTTCTGGCCAGATTCCCCACTTCGCTTGGTTATTTTAGCATTTCCCACCCCCGGAGCTGTGCAGAGAGGCCAGAACGCCCCAGCTTGCCTTGCTAGACCTCCAGCTTTCCACCGCAGCAGCCACACAAACACGTGCACCGAGGCACATGCACACACACATGCACACACCGCTTTTTTCCCCCTGGCTTGCATCAGGCAGGATATTTAACAAAGGACCTTTCTTCTGCCCATTTGCTTTTGTATCTCAAGTTCCTCCTTCTTCTCCAGCAGTGAGTCACTCAGCCTCTCCCCTTTTCCCCGTCTCTTCTCTTCCCTGCGGGAATCCAGCCCTGTCCCATGAGCGCACGCCTCCTGGCCGTTTTGCTATGGAAAGGGAAAATTGCATTTAGCCAGAATCCTATTTTTTTTGCAAGAAGGGGGTGGCTGCACCCGTTTTTGGGAGAGAGGTGGGTTTTTTTGTTGGGTTGATGAATAGCCACAAAAAGGTCCCTGCAGGACAGCAGAGCGACATTGGGATTTCTCCGGTTGTTCTCTGTGCCAACAGGCGACGGCCGAGGTGTTCCCACTTAGCAAAGCAAGGCCACAGCCAGGAATTTCTCAGAGGCTCCATTTTAATATTAGCTAGTCCCCTAAATGAAAGAGTGATCCCATGAGATGCTCCCGGAGTGTCAGCACATTCCCAGCACGTGTATTGGAGACATGGGAGCATCCTGGCTCCCGCTCCCACCCCAGCAGCTCCCCACCGAGGGGTCCCAGTGAAGCACAAAACTGGGCAGAGCTGGGCAGCCCCAAAGACCCCACGCAAGGATTGGGGGGACCCCAGACCTCCCGCAGCAGGAGGCAGGGCGTAGGGCCACGCAGGGTAGCCACAGTGCCAGAGCCACCAGCAGCACCGCGGGGGCCACGGTCGCCACTGACCCACAC